AAGCCAACCTGGGCAATTTTGCAACTTAGCAAGAAAGATCTTGTCTCAAAAAAAGAAATAGAAAGGGCTTGGGGCCGGGGAGATGGCTCAGTGGAATAAGTACTTCCCTGGCAAGTGCAAGGGCCTGAGTTCAATTGCCGGTTCTGCCAAAAAGGAAAAAAAAGAAAGGACCAAGGCCATGTAGCTCAGTGTATAAAGGCTTTTGGGTCAATCTCCAGTACTACAATAAAAAGAAAAGCAAAAGAGAAAGACTTAGGCCTATAATTTATTGCAAAGGCCCTGGGTTCAATTTCTAATATCACTATCTCTCTGAGAAAGGAAAAGCTAATAGAAGCAAAATTAATGTGGCTGACTGTGGCTAGCTAACTGGGTATTAGCTACTTGTTCTATGATGCTACTTTCCTACTTCAGCTCAGTGGTAACTAGGCCTGCAATAACTGCAAGCATCCTATTTATCATGCACTCAGCACCATATTAGGTGTTACCATCTGAACTTACTATACATTACAATTCCTTTCTTTTCTTTTCTTTTTTCTTTTTTTTTTTTGATACCAGGAATTAAACTGAGGACCTTGTGCTTGCCAGCCAGGTGCTTATGCTGCTGTGGTCTCTCTCCAGTCCTACATTTAACTTCTAATAAAGTCTTTGTTTCTTGAGACAGGGTCTCACTGAGTAGCTGAGGTTGCCCTTGAGCTACTTTTTTGTTTGCTTTGAGATAGGGTTTATATGTAGCTTGTGCTGGCTGGCCTTGAGTACACTATGTATTCCAAGCTGGCCCCAAACTAATGTCCATCCTTCTGCTACTACCTCCCCTGTACTGAATTACAGACATATGCTACCACATCCGGTTTAGAGACATCATTTAGGTTTTTTGGTACCAAGAACTGAATTGAATTCAGGACCTCAAGCTTGCGAGGTAGGTGCTATGCTGGGCTATACCCCCCAGCCCTAGAAACTTTTTAAAAATATAACATGATTTCAAAACACACAAACTGCTGGGTGTGGTGGTATACATCTATAATTCCAGCCCAGTAAATTCAACTAAACTTTTTGTGTACCCACTAGATCAGAAACTAAAGAAAAAATTTCATATCCAGGTTAATATTCAAAATCATTTTACATAAATTCAAGCTCATTCTGTGGACTAACACTCCCATTTAAGCACAGGGCAGTTACTACTCTTCACTATAGCAACTAGACCAAAGAAAAAGGGGGCCTGCCCTGTAGCTCAGTTCTTTAAGTGGCTGCTTCAACAAAGCAGTCAGGCTCAAGTTGCTGTGGTTGATCCCCACAACTCAAGCCAGCCAAACCTGCCCTGAGGTCATTTGGGGCCAAAAGAAAAAACGAAAAAACTCAAGACAAAACGTCAACACAGTATCTCTTCTCTGGTATTTTCTTCACATGTAGCTTTAACCTGTGCCTAAAAAAGTTATCTGTCTACATTTATGTCATTATACTAGTTGGTTCTGAAAAGATGGCATGTAACTTCTGTCATAGCTTTTAGGCTAAACTACTAGCTCTATATAACTCAGGAAAGGAGAAGACAGAGGCAAGAAGCAAAACTTTGACTGCTAGAACAAAGAATATAGGAATACACACAATGACTGCTCAAGAGGTGGGCTATCAACTAGAGATAAAAGGCAAAAATTAATTTTTTGCGGGGGGCGTTGCTCAGGATGCCTTCAGGGCAGGTCTGGTTTGGCTTAAGGATGAGGAAATTGAACCACAGCATCCCGACTGAGCCTGACTGCTTTGTATCAGCAGGAACTTAAAACACCTGAGCTAATGGGCAGGTACCCAAAAAATTATTATTATTATTATTATTATTATTATTTTAATTTTAGAGAAGGGTCTACAGGGTATTCAGGGTCTCACTACCGCTTGTTTACAGCCTCCCAAGAGCTAGGATTACAGGTGTCCACCACCACACCCAGTCTCAAATGCCATCTCAGCAAGCCCCGAGTGGCGGGGCCTGCAGGCAGGCCCAGGGAACCCCCAGCCCCTGTGCCTGCTTACAGGTGCTTTAATCCGCTGAGCTATTTGGCCAGCCCTACAAAAATTAATTTCTTAGAACTGCCTTCTTGTGCTTGCTTTGGCAGCACATATACTAAAATTGGAAAAAACTGTCTTCTTGCCTATAAATTAAACAACAAAAACCAAGTAAATCTGGTGCTTCTTGAAATGAGCATTTTTAGGTATGGGGCCTGAATCTCTTCATATCTATATTATACTTCACTGCTTCCTCTAGAGATTTTTTTTTTAATTTATGTATTTGGTACAGGGTCTCACTACACTGCTTAGGCTCATTGGATCCTCCTGTTTTCAGCCTCCCAAGAGGTGGGATTAGCGGCATGCACCACCACAGCTTGTGGTGCTGGAGATCGAACCTGGTCCCTGTGCCTGTGCTTGCCTAAGCAGGCACTTAGTCTGCTAAGCTATCTCACCAGCCCCCTCCTGATTATTTTTGCCTACAATGATGATGAAATCCACGATCTTATGCATTCTACCAATTAAATACCTCACAACCACACTCCATCTCTAGCCCCACCTTCTTGATTCCTGACAAATACCATTAAAGTAACGAACCTCATACTCCCTAAAGTAAAAGTTTGCTTTCACTTCAGTTTTTTTTTTTTTTTTTTTTTTCAGAACCTGGGATTGAAATCAGGCCCTTGTGCTTGCCAGGGAAGCGCTTATTCCACTGAGCCATCTCCCCGGCTCCTCACTTCACTATTTCGCTGGAGGCCACTTATACTAAACTCTGTGTGAACCCATCTTCTTTTAGACAATGACAAACAGAAAGCAAGGAAAGAGGTTAGAATACAGATAAGCAAAAATATTTTAGGTTAATTTCTATAAATTCAGATGTGTTATTAAAGTAGTCAAAGTATGCTTAGTAGATCAATCAGAACATTCAGTTATACAGTTTTAAATTTACTCATTGCAAAATTGGTTTCCTATAAAGAGAAAACCAACATTAAATGCCAAAATCAGTACTTAATAGTTTGACATTTACAACATCAAAATGTTGGTGCTGATTTCAGCATTCCTACAAAGCTCTAAGAGGTCTGAAAGGGAGAGCCTATAGCAGATCTCTTCTTTCTACATTTTACACATTATGTACCTCCAAAGCCAAGGCTGTCTTGTCGTAGGCATTAGGGACTCGCTTCTGGATAACCCTGGCATAAATGGGCCCATTCTGGAGGTTAGGGAGCGGAGTGTTGACGCTGGGTTGGGCATAGGGCCCAGGCTCCGGCCCACCCAGTGGCTGTGGGTGGGAACCCTCCTGGTTACCTCCAATCAGAGCCGATACTGAGGCGGAGGAAGGTCTATACTTCTCCACGTAAGGGACTGGAATCATCCCTCTCTTGCCTTCGCTGTCCTCTGCATTCCACCACTGTTCTTCAGGTTTATCCCGGATTCTCAGGATGTCTCCTTTCTTAAAGGGAAGATCTTCTTCATCATTCCCATTAAAGTCAAAGAGGGCTCGCACATACTCTGCCTCCTCCTGCCTGAGAATCACTCCACTACCCTGCCTGGATCTGGAAACCGGTTCTATCAATGTTGTAGTGTCCAAATAGTGAATTTTGTAGAATTCCAGTAAAGCAGGCAAGGAATCAAACTCTTGATCTCCTATTCGGAGTCTGGAAGGGTTCATTCCTAGAAAAAATGGAGTAAAGTGTTATTTAAGGATATACTATACTGAAGATGATATGAAGGTTTTAAGCATTTTTTTCCGTAAACATTTAGTCGGTATTTAATCTTGAAAAAATATCAGCTTCTCTTCATAGCAAATCAACATCGTACTTCGAAGATGAAACACCTCTGGGAAGAAAGATGTCCATCAGCACTGCCCCTAGAGAAGGGAGAAAGGACATTGACAAACCTGGCCTACTGGAATGCTCTCACACTAGGTCAAGACACCACATGAAGTTCATTCTCCCACTATGCTCTGTTGCTACTTCACTTACAGAGTAGCATCAGATTCAATTGTTGCAATCTTCTTTTCAACCTCAGGAAAGTCAGCAAGCTCTCCTGTTGCATAGGTCCCAGCATCTGTTCCAGGAAAAGATGCAGAGAGCATGGTGCCCACACTGAGCTCATACAATTCTTTTTACTTCTAGAATGTATAATTCTAAAGAACAAACAAAACATTGGGAGATGGCTCAGTAGAATAAGCACTTGCCTGGCAAGTGCAAGGGCCTGAGTTCAATTCCCAGTTCCGCCCCACCCCGCAAAAAAGAAAACTGTTTATCAGTTTGTTGACTGATGAAAAAATTTAATTAGAAAACCAAGGAACTAAAGAGAAACTAAGACTGTTGCCAGGCATAGTGGTATATACCTATAACCTCAGACTTTTTTTTTTAATAAAATTTTATTTATGTGTGTGTGTGGCTAGTTCAGCCCACCAGGGGGCGGGGCTGGCTGGCATGTGGTGCTGGGGGATTGAACCGCAGTCCCAGTGCTTTGCTAAGCTTGTTCTAAGTAGGTGCTTTAGACCACTGAGCCATCTCACTAGCCCTAACCTCAGACTTTAGAGAAACTGAACTATATAGTTAAGACCCTGTTTTGTTTTTTTAAAATGCTGTTTAAAAATTAATTCCTCTAGGGCCACCCAGATAGCTCAGCAGATTAAAGCACCTGCTGAGGCACAGCAGGGACCAGGATTTGGCCCCTGGCATGCCTTACTAACCCTGCCCCTAGGCCGCTGAGCCAGTGAATGAAACTGGGTGTGGTAGTGTACACCTCCAATCCCAGTGCTGGGAAGGCTAAAAACAAGAGGATCACTATGTCTGATATGTGTAGTGAGACCCTGTACTAAACACGTTTTTTAAAAAAAATTTAATTCCTCTAGCCAAGTGTGGTGGTGCATACCTATAATCCCAAAACTAGGAAGGCTGAGGCAGGAGGATCCTTGCAAGTTCAAGGAGAAACTAGCGGTTGGCTGGTGGGATTCTCATCCTGACTAACCATATATGCTGATGCCTGTGAGCATTAGGCAGGCAGTTGCACTGAGGATGGCAATGTTTAATAGAGGGGTCACGCTTGGAGTGCCTGCCATCTTGGTCTTCTAAATATGTACTTCTTGTCATGACATACCAATTATTGCCATACTGTCTCTCAAGTAAAGTTTTTTGGTTTTGTTTTTTTTTAAAGGGTAATAAATGAAAAAAAAAAGCACAAGAAAAAAAAAAGTCACAGGTCTGTCCTGTTACAATTCTGTATATGGTTGGATTTCTAAATTTCTTTGTAAAAATATGTAAATGCTTATTTTTAGTTTTTTAAAATTACTTTTCCTGGGGCCGGGGAGATGGCTCAGTGGAATAAGCACTTCCCTGGCAAGTACAAGGGCCTGAGTTCAATCCCTGGTTCTGCAAAAAAACTAAAACTAAAATAAAAATAAAATTACTTTTCCTTCATATTCTATAAGGACTTAAAGTTCACATATCAATATTTGATGGAAAATACCTGTTCCATGATATGCCAAAGATGTTTGATATTTAGACAGATAAGGCAAACCGAACTGCATATATTGCAGGTTAATAATAAGCTTCTTGAGGCCAGGGTGATGACTCAGTAGAATAAGTGCTTTCCTGACAAGTCCAAGGGTCTGAGTTCAATCCCCGGTTCCGGAAAAAAAAAATAA